CCCTTCTTTTTCTTTATCAATTCTTTTTCCAGTGCTTCTAAGTAATCTTTTAATTCACCTCCATGGATTGCTTGGAAACCTTAGGTACTTTATTCCACATTTATATATATATATATATTATTTTTAGTTTTTTTTCGAAGGGTTTCCATTGTTCTGAAACACCACTGGTTAAGAGGGAATTTTCTTGCACTACTTGACTTCTCCTTTTCCTTTTTACCACACCCCCAACTAGGCTTTTGGCCTAAGTTGGCTATTCGCTAAACCACAAATCAAGAGGATTATAGGTAGTGGGTCAAGTAAGGTCTAGGGTTCATCAAGGTTCTTCCAAAGAAAGGTAGGGCTCAAACGGTGTTCAAAAGAGTTTCACACGCTCACAGTAGGCCACAAAGAGGTATATGTCAAATTTGGCTCACGCTCTTTAAAGTTGCCTAAGATCATTTCAAGAGCACACCTTTCTAAATCAATCACACTAACAAGGCAAATTCAAGGTTTATTCATGCAAGGTTCAAAGTAAGCTCATCACACACGGCATCGACACTTAAGTGAAACAAGACTACACAATTTTGCTAGTGTGCAACGATCATTACAAGAGAATCTATTTGATAAATGGCTAATCACAATGGGATGCAAAAAGTCCACATATTTTCTATGCAACATCATTTGGCCTCATCATAGCTGTACATTCATGTTTGTTCAATTGTAGGCACTATTGAAGTCATCGGCATTGATCGAAACCGAGACTCAAATTTGTTTACAAAAGAACAGCCACATACAACACAAGAGAGATTGCAGAAATGTGCGAAAAATTCAAAATTTTTTGAAAGGGTCAAAATCATTTTGCAATTAAAAATAAACGGAAATGGATCCACAAGCTCAAACAATTGCAAAGTAGTTTTAAAAACACAATTAACAACAAGCAACTCAAATATCAGCACAAAATACGAGCATCAAATAGCACAGAAAAGGTGGGCCTCACCCCACCACACATAAAAGCAATTTGTCCTCAAATACAAATAAACACAGAATCTGAAAGGCAAAATAAAGAAATACAAAGAGGGAGGTAAAGAGGGAGTCCTGGCTAATAGGTAGCTTCATCTGTCTGGGCAGCAGTACCCGATGTATCTCCCTGAAGTAAAACAATGGTCCCCAGAGTATTGTTGTTTTGGTCCTCATTGTTTGCCTTTTCCTTGGCCTCTGCAACAAGATTAGCTGCAATAATCTTATCTATCTCATGAGCTGCTCCGAAGGCCCGTATTGCATTAACTGAACTTTGACCCCATGGAGGCACATTAGGGTCGATGGGAATTCGTCTCTTTGCCCTGGATTCCTTGGTATATTTCTTTTGTCTGTCTAGCTCTTCTTTCTTTTCATCCCATTTAAACTCTCGTGCTCTTACATGTCGGGGTGGCATGTCCCTTCCCACAACTTTTGGTCTAGCCATTTCTGTAAAAGACTTCGAGAAAAGTTAGACAATATTTTAAATAGGGGTAGGGGAATTCTGGGTGTAGAATAGCTTCACCAAACCAGTTGGCGAGGTACTCATCCATTTAGGCCATTCGCTGAAAATAATACACAGAAGGTGTAGGGGTGCAGACAAAGGGCGAACAAGGAGTCTTTCGGCGAGTCGCTGAGTGTGCTTAGCAGCATTAGGCTAACCGCTAAAAGTTTAGGTGAACCGACGTACAATTCGGCGAGTTTGTTCATCTTGTCGAATAGCCAAACATGTCTATTTTCAACCCATTTCTTTCAAATTTCACCCCGCAACCCAGATAATGCAATTTAGGCTTAAATAACACAATTTCAATGAAAACCCATAGAAATTTCACATTTTTCCCCCTGTAAAATTCAACTCAACGCACAGTCGAATGGGAGTGCCTCAAATCACGCGAAAGCTACTGAATCATAATCCATAATACATGCAATCCCAGTAACTCTGAGATGCAGTAGAGATTTTATACTATTAATCACCATGCAAATGAGTACAAATTTTGATAAAATAACTGAGGGGTTCGATTACCAACCTTGGTGCTGAATTAGATTGTATTGACATGCTAGGCAGCAATGCGATCCAAATCTGTGCACAATTCAACACTTAAAATACTTTAAAATGGCAGGAAGTATAAATCTAAAGTGCTGGTGTGAGTTTGATAGGAAGAAAAAGTGAGAGGAAATGAATGAAATAGAACTTTTTAAACATGTGGCTTGCAAAAACCATCCAGTTTCCGCCCATTCGGCTATGTCAGTCAAGTTCGCCTATTCACTCGGCAAGCGCCAAGTGTCTAGTTTCTTCGTCAATTGTAACAGGATCTACAATTCATGTGAGGATTCCAATCGACGGTTTTCATTGAGGTCGCCGATATGGTTGGCGATGCACCACTAATTTTCTTCAGACCGCCGAGGTTTAGAGGATCCAAGCTGACAGTGCCTTGAGTCAGAAGGCGGAAAGAATCGTGCTCGCTAACCTTGTCTGCGATCTACCAAATGGACCTGTTGCCTTCCTCCATATACTATTTCAATCTTCTCTCTTAATATAACATGTATAAACAACACACCATTATTCTACTAGTAATTAGCAAATACTTAAAGGGTTTTGGGTTGCCTCCCAAACAGCGCCTTAGTTAATGTCGTGGCACGACGCAAGTCCACCTTCAGACCTCACTTTTGGGGTTCGCCATAGTATCACTAGGCAAACCCCCTTGTTGTCTCAGATTGAGATGAGACGAGATATGACCCATTTGGGTCTCCAACTGCTTGATCAAAATTGAATGAGAGATAACAGTCTAGCTGAGGGTAGACACGTCTTCTTTCATGCCTTTCAACATTCTATCTAACCCTTCAACTTTGTTTAGAATATGCGAGAGCATATCCTTGGACCTACCACATTCTGAATCCTTGGGCTTCTGACACTCGTGGGGGGGCACATATTTATCCTTCTCCCCATCTTTCCCATTTGGATTACGGTCCCTCCATTCACGATCTCGATCCTTCCAGCCTTCATCTCTAACCCATCCTTGGTTAGCTAGAAAATTTACTTCCTCATAACACATGGCTTCAACCTTCATTTCCTTAGGATTTGCACCCCCGACTCCCACAACATTGACGCTACGGGCACTAGCCCCCATGACATTTTTGGATAAATTGTCAAGTTGCGTCATGATCTTGGCCATGTTTTGGTCTCTCTCATTGTCCTTTTCAACTTGCTCCTTAAATAGCTGAAATGTGACCGGTGAGACTTGGTCTTCGCGGGTGTACCACGCCATGTTGATGGTTGTCATGCCATCAAGAAGTTTAGCTGCTACTGCATATGGTTGTTGCATTAATCTTTCGGGCGAGAGTTGGTCAGCTACACATTTGTTTATCGAATCGAGACTCCGGTAGAAGTATTGAAGGAACACATTATCAGGTAGACCATGGGTTCGGCATTGTAGCACCAATTTCTTAAACCTAAGCCAAGTTTTGTGCAGAGGCTCTCCATTCAAACGCTTAAAGCTTTGGTAATGCTATCCCGAATAGTCATCATCTTTGAGGGAGGGAAAAATCGCATATTAAATACGGTGACCAACTCCTCCCACGAAGTGATTGAGTTACGTGGAAACTCAGCTAGCCACTTACACGCATCCCCCATCAATGAAAAAGGAATAGCCTTAATCGAACCGACTCCTGAGAGATGTTTTTGAACGAGAATGGTCCACACACATCTACGAAGTTTCGAAGGTGCTCATGTGGGTCCTCATGAGCTAATCCACTGAAGTGTCCGTTTAGTTGCAAGAGTTGCAACATGGTGCTCGTTATTTTGATGCTTATTGTGACCAATGACACTAACCTACGATATAAATATCTACGATCGTCGATAATATAGTAATCCAACCAAGGGTTGGGATCGTGTCCTAAGGGAATGCTTTTGAGAATTAATAGAAAAATAAAATTAAGTTCTAACTAGTCGTAGCTAAAGACATTAACAATTAAAAACATTGTAAATTAAAAGGGGTGACACGAAGATGTCAAATATCAAATGGGGATTTTGTCACAAGTAGTAAAAACAACAAACATAACAAGAAAATCAAGTATGGGGACAAATTCTTGGGGTGTGACCGCACTACAAGTTGAGATAAATCGTTGGGTACATCTTTTCAATAGGAAATTTGCAAGATAATAGTGACTAGGCTAAGCTTTAGATGGGAAATAAGTTCCCTTTCGGGCAACCTAGCCCGTTTCAAATGCGTTCCTCTCGGACACCCATTTCCCGCATGAAGGCCAGCCTATCTGTCAAGCTGAGTGTTTGGATATGGGACTAGGGCTCACCCTCTGGGGCTGAACCTCATACCCACTCCTTAGGCCATTAGGTTTCGCGACCTCCCTCTCGGGCAAGCCGAAAACACATGGGTGGTTTTGTTTTTGCAACTACAAACCCATCAAATTAAACCACAACCACTAGGTGAAATCACCATTAAAATACATCTAACCTATCAGCAATAAAGTCCCAACAATAATATCAACACATATTTGCTAAGTCACATCCCAAGAATGGGGGTTTTTAACCACACATCAAGAAAAATAACAAAATACACCTAAAATGATACTAAAATCAAATGGGTATAAGGAATTAAACCTTGATTTAAGCAAAGGAAAAGAATGGAAAAGACCCACTTCCAACTTGGGGAAGATGAAATCCTTCTTTCTTCAACTTTCCCAAAAAACACTCTCCAAACTTGAGAGAAAATATCCAAAAAGTACTATTCTATTGTGAAAATTAAAATAAATGTTCGATTCCTAAAAATTAATAACAAGTTTAGTATTTATAGACTTTAGAAAATAGTGTTGGCGGATCTTTCGGCGAGGCTAGTCGGAATCGCCGATTAACCCAAGGATTTGCCATTTGGTGTAGTTGGTCGCCATCTTTCACTAGCCTTCAGCATCGTCGTGCTCTGTGTCATTGGGCGACATTGTACTACTTCACGGAATTATTCGGAAAAACACCGACTGCTCCTTTCATCGCCTTTTTAATCGTGCTCCTTCAGGGCTTCGCGTACTGGAACAAAGGGGGGAGTGCGTCCCTTTGGAGAATCGCCAAGTGTGCTTGGCGATGCTAAGGCTTCAGCTTCCTCGTTCTTTTCAGCCGTTTTGTTCCGTTTTGCGCCTAAATGTCCATGCTTCCACTAAAACTTCAAATACCTGAAATTCAAGAGTTTTCATCATATATTGAGATAAAATAAACATTTGAGGACACTATTTCTATCAAAATAAAGCCCTAAATGAGTCCAAGTTGTGGACTCATCAGGAGCTTACCCTTTGGCCCTCCTTGGCTTACCTAAATTTCTATTAGTCTCCCAAAATGGGCAGCTTACTAGGTGATGGGGTGGTCTGTTGGGAGAATCGCCAACCCAATCGGTGAGCCATGACCTAGCTCGCCCTTTTTCCCAAAACCTAGCCCAAGGGGACTGCCCACTAGGCGACCCCAAGTGCACTTTGGCACATTGCCAAGTCACTTGGTGATCATTCTGCCCAATCGCCAACTAGGTCCATTGAGAAACAAGTTCTCCTTCACTCTCCCTTGGTAATTTAAGTCCTTACATTCATCCTAGATGTTTACCTCCTTCATTTTAGCTTTAGTTTAGTCTAACCATCTCTGAAATGTTACATTAATCCTCACATTTAGCTCTAGGTTAACCTACCATTTTTTTCCGGGGTGTTAAATTATCTCCCCCTCGGGAACAATAGTCCTCGAATGACGATTTAGACACCCTACGGAATTAAAGACTCAAAACTATCAGCCCATCATCGATATGCAACATAACAAAAATGCACAACTTATAGGAGGAGACATCAACTCAATCTCAAGATTTAAACAATGTAATCACAAGGAAGTAGGAACTACATCCACAACCCAATATGCACAATGCTCATCATTTCATATCATTTTAGGAGGAACTACCATCTCCATCTCTAACAATCTCTAACAATCTCTAACAATCTCAACACAACAATAAGGAGCCAATATGTCATTTCACCAAGACATAACTAAACATGCTCATCAATTCACCTCATGAAGACAAATATGCAATCATCATAATAAAATGCAAATCAACATGAGGGACACATAAATCATGAAAACTCAATTTATGCTTAACATGAATTCTTACAAGAACATGTATATCATAAGGAAATCATAAAAAACACTTATAGCATAAATGACTTCCAAAACACTAAAATCAAGAAAACTGCTTACCTCAAGTTTGAATAGGAGTAGAAGGAAAAATATGAGGATAACAGGACTTCATGTCGGCATCGGCCTCCCATGTAGCACCCTCAACTAAGTGATTTCTCTATAAAACCTTAAAGGAAGCTACCTCTTTGTTTCTTAACCTCTTAACTTGCCGGTCTAGAATCTCAACCGGGACTTCTTCGTAAGAAAGGTTCTCATCAACTCCCAAACCTTCTAAAGGAAGGATGCATACCGGATCACCAATGCACTTCTTAAGCATAAAAACATGAAATATCGGGTGAACCAGAGCCAATTCATTTGGCAAGTATAATTCATAGGCAACTTTCCCAATTCGCTTCAAAATTTGATAAGGGCCCACATACCAGGGAATAAGCTTTCCCTTTTTACCAAACCTCATCACACCTTTCATAGGTGAGATTTTCAAGTAAACCCAATCACCAATCTCAAATTCTAGATCCCTTTTTCTAACATCAGCATATGACTTTTGCCGACTTTGGGCCATCTTCAACCTCTCTCTAATGAGTCGAACTTTTTCAGTGGTCTCATAAACTAGTTCAGGACCAATTAGAGAAAATTCACCTACTTCAAACCAACTAACCGGAGACCTACACCTTCTACAATAAAGGTCTTCAAACAGAGCCATGGCAATGCTTTAGTGGTAGCTATTGTTGTAGGCAAACTCAATCAATGGGAGATGGTTATCCCAACTACCCTTGAAATCTATCACACATGCCCTCAACATGTCCTCTAAGGTTTGAATGGTGCATTCCTCTTGACCATCTGTTTGAGGATGGAAAGCGGTACTAAGTTTAACCTTTGTACCAAGCCTTTTTTGGAATGCCTTCCAAAAATACAAAGTAAATTGAGTACCCCGATCTGAAATGATAGATGAGGGGACCCCACGCAACTTCACTATCTCATTATGTACAACTTGACATAGTCTTCCGTCGAAAATAAAGTCTTGACGAGAATAAAGATGGCTGATTTTGTCATCCTATCAACAATGACCCAAATAGAATCATGTTGCCTTCGAGTACGAGGCAACCCCAAAATAAAATCCATATTCACATCCTTCCACTTCCAAGTGGGAATATCTATATTTTTTGACAAGCCTCCGGGCCTTTGATGCTTGGCTATAAAACCCGCTATATTTTTTTTCATACCATTCTACCAATAGACTTCCCGTAGGTCACGATACATCTTGGTGGCTCCCGGATGAATAGAATACCGCGAACCATGAGCCTCTTCTTAAATTTTCCATCTTAAGCCATCAACATTCGGAACACATAATCTACCTTGGTACCTAAGCACCCCATCTCGCTCTTGGGAGAAAGCCTCAGCGGACTTATTGAGAACCGATTCTTTCAACTCCATTAATATAGGATCATGATATTGCTTAGACTTCACATCAACCACAAAGGATGATTCGGAACTATGATGGACCATAACCCCACCATTGGTGGAATCCACGAGTTGGACACCTAACCGGGCCAACCTTTGCACATCACGAACCAATTCATTTTTCTCCTCTACTACATGAGCCACACTACCCATGTACAATTTAGTAAGGGAATCCGCAACTACATTAGCTTTGCTGGGGTGGTAAAGGAAACTCATGTCATAATCCTTCAAAATATCTAACCACCTTCTTTGTCGGAGATTCAAGTTGTTTTGGCTAAAACACATATTGAAGACTCTTGTGGTCGGTAAACACATCTACATGGACCCCATATAAGTAATGTCTCCATATTTTCAAAGCAAACACAACCTCCGCTAATTCAAGGTCATGAGTCAGATAATTCTTCTCATGGACCTTGAGTTGCCTTGAAGTGTAGGCAATTACTTTACCACGTTGCATAAGGACACATCCCAAACCCAATCGAGAGGCGTCACAATATACCACAAACCCACCGGTACCCTCTGGTAAGGTCAACACCGTAGAGGATGTAAGTCTATCTTTCAATTCTTGGAAGATTTTCTCACAAGCTTCCAACCACACAAACTTAGATTTCTTTTGAGTCAAAGCCGCCAATGGAGAAGCAATGGAGGAAAAACTCTCAACAAACCTCCTATAGTAACCGGCCAAACCTAAGAAACTTCTAGTATCGGTAGGAGATAGAGGTTTAGGACAACTCTTGACATCATCCGTCTTTTAGGATCTACCTAAATACCCATAACCGACACAACAGGACCAAGGAAAGAAACCAACCTTAGCCAAAACTCATATTTACTAAACTTAGCATACAATTATTGGTCCTTGAGGACTTGTAATACAATCCTTAAATTCTTCATATGATCACCCTCACTCCTTGAATAGATCAAAATACCATCAATAAAAATGATCACACACAAATCAAGATATTGCCTAAATACCCTATTCATTAGGTCCATGAATACCGCCGCGGCATTTGTTAACCCAAAGGACACAACCACAAATTCATAGTGACCGTACCGTGTCCTAAAGGCCGTCTTGGGAATATCACATCCTCTTACCCTTAGTTGATGGTAAACCAAACAAAGATCTATTTTGGAGAAAAAGTTAGCCCCTTGGAGTTGATCAAACAAATCGTCAGTCCTAGGAAGAGGATACTTATTCTTTATAGTGACATTGTTCAATTGGCGGTAATCAATACACATCCTAAGGGACCCATCTTTCTTCTTCACAAAAAATATCGGAGCACCCCATGGATATATGCTTGGTTGAATAAAACCCTTGTCTAATAAGTCCTTGAGTTGCTCCTTCAACTCTTTCAATTCGACCGGAGCCATTATATAGGGAGGGATAGATATGGATTGTGTATCCGGAAAAAGATCAATTCAAAAGTCTATTTCCCGTTCGGGAGGAATGTCGGGTAAGTCATCGGGAAAGACTTTCGGAAAATCACTCACCGTGGGGACCTACTCTAAAGAAGGGACCTTGGACTTAACATCCATAAACCTAACAATATGATACATACACCCCTTGGAGATCATTTTTCCAGCTTTTAGACATTAAACAAATTGACCTCTAGGAATAGAATTCCTGCCTTTCCACTCTTAAATTGGCTCTTTTGGAAATTGAAATTTGACCATACGGGTCCTACAATCTATTGAAGCATAACATGCATGCAACCAAGACATGCCCAAAATTACATCAAAATCAAGCATGTCTAATTCTACCAAATAAACCAAACTGACTTTATGAGATAAGGAAATAGGACAACTCATGTAGACTCTTTTTGCTACTACCGAGCCACTAATCGGGGTAGACACCGAAAAAGGTTCTAGTAACTCTTCGGGGAGTACTTCAAATTTCATAGCCACAAAAGGTGTAACAGAAGATAAAGTGGCACCGGGGTCTAATAATTCATAAATATCAATGGAAAATACTTTCAACATACCCGTAAGAATATCCGGTGAGCTCTCTTGGTCACCTCGGCATTGGAGAGCATAGAAACGATTCTTCTTGGGAGCATCAGAATTTGGGCCACTAGGAGGGACTTGCTGGCCGTCTCTCCTTTTAACCCTTAGCAAGGGACAATCTCTCTTTATATGACTGCTCTTCCCACAATTAAAGCAACTATTCGTGCCAACTAAGCACTTGCCATCATTCTTCTTGCCGCACTTTGGACAACTTAGTCTTTCAACATAAGTGCTACCACTATTACCTCTTTGTGGAGTAGGGTTAGACACCCTTTCTTTGTTAACCCTTGGAGTGCTAGATGAGACTTGGTTGGAAAACCTCTTCTTGAACCTTGGTTTACTTTTAACCTCAAACTTACCCTTGGAAGAATTCCCATCATCGGTCCTTGCCCTTTTTACTTCTCTATTCACTTGCTTGAGCTTTTGTTCCTGAATTTGTTTCGCATGAACCATAAGACGTGAAATATTCATACTTGGGATGAGCATTGCCGAACGAAATTAATTGACTACTAAGTCGGGTATCCCCATAACAATTTTTTTCATCTAGGCGCTAGAGTCCGCCACTAAGGTTGGATCATATTTAGACAATTGGATGAACTTAAGGCTATACTCTTTCACATTTATACCTCCTTGGCAAAGGTTGATGAATTCTTGCATCTTTCTCTCCCTCAACTCTAGTGGGAAAAACCTATCAAAGAAGGCCGACTTGAACACTCTCCAATCAACCAGGCCCTGTCTCACAACTCTCTCATCCTTCCATTACTCATACCATACTTGAGCAACATCTTTCAATTGGTAGGCGGCTAGTTCTGCCTTCTCTTGTGGAGACACCCCATTAGCATCAAGCACCTTAAACACTTCATCAATAAACCCTTGTGGGTCTTCATCCACTTTGGATTCATAGAATGTAAGGGGATTCATTCTTGTGAAATCCCTAATCCTTGAAGCGGTTGTACTTGCATTGGAGTTCACTTGAACTCTAGCATCCCTAGTGACTTGATTCGTTAAAGTATGAGTCAATGTTTGGAGAGTCGTCCTTATCTCCACATTGGTCATAGCCCTCTCTTCATTAGGAGCTTGAGGATCTTGAGGAGCTTGGGGAGGAACTCCCTCATTGACGTTCTCCTCTTGCATCCTCCTTGCATTCCCTCTTCTTGTATTCGTTGCCTATATTCACAAGAAAAAGGTTAGGAAAGAACATCATAGAGTTAAAACTCTAAGGCACGACTAAGGAGTAATGAAAGAAGTGAAAGTTCCTAAACATCGTATAGCCTCTTATTCATAAATGTGGCGCGCTTCACACTTACGGATAAGACTCTACTAGACGTGGTTCATGAGACATCATCCTAGCATCATTCTATAACCTTGTGCTCTGATTACCAAGTTTTTCACGACCCGGGGTTACCTCCTGGAGCAACATGGTGTATTTAACCTCGAAGGGGTCTCATACAGGCCCTTAGCATAATCATAACATAAAGATATAGAATAATTGCAGAAAATTTAAAACTTTTACAATAGAAGTCAACTTCGTTTTCATAAATAAACATAAAATTCTAGACTTGTCTCAATCACCATCTAGTACATAATGAGTACTAATAGGGTCAAAAGCCCTTTACATCAATAGTAGTCTCAAAGTAGAAAATACAATAGAAACTAGAAACAATAGCATCTTGTCCTCGAACTTGAGGACTCACCAAGCTTAGGGAATAGTCAATCCAAGCTTCACTTGAAAGAAATAGTATGTCTCAACGGCCGAAACCTACACTCATAGAATGTAGAAAATATGGGTTAGCACAAATAATGTACTAAGTATGGAAGCCATGCACAAAATCCTTAAAACATGCATAAAAGGGATATTTAGTTGAAAACATGCCTTTATCAAGTTTAGAAACCATTATGCACATTTATGAAGAAACATAAGCCAAACAAACATATAAGCAACCCAAAGCCATACTAGTGCCATGCAAAGGTAAGATCCCATAACCCTACCAAATGCTAAGTATAACATTTAGGCTATCAACAACATACATATCTTACTTTTACCTCATTTATAAACAACATTTATAAGTAAGGAGTCATTCATGTTCATAGCTTGTATCAAGTAAAGTCAACCTTAACATTCATACATACCCTTCATACATAATTCATAAGTCATCATAACATAAGAGAACCTCACTATAACTAATCTTAAAGCCTACTTGTGCAATGCATAAGTGATGCCCCATACTCTCACTCATACTAAGTAGTACCTCTCCAGAAGTCATAATTAAAGTCCATCTTCTTATCATAGTTCATATTCATATCATATAGGGAAGTTTAGCCTTAACCGACATAGACCATGTGAGCTACATGAAATTCGGTGTTCTACCCCCACACCAAAAAGAGGTGTCATACTTGCCTAAGGTAGAACTTTCATAATAGTTTTTAGGTGGATCCACTAGCTAAAGACCTATGTGGGCACATAGTTATGGGATATGTAGATTGCTACTAGAAACCCGGACTGCTAGAGTAAAAGGTTTCCATCCCATGAGACAACATACATTGGAAAGCCAGACTTTCTAAACATAAAAGCTTCTGTTTCATTGTTCATATCCGCTCGGTGCTAAGCATAATTCCCTTTAATAGTCATATTAGGTCTTTACTTAAGTTCATATTCACACAAGAATGCACTAGGCACCCAACCAATATCATACCATAAGAGCTCATAGATTCATTAGGTGAGAATGTCCTTTCAACCTTATAACCATCAACATGTGAGTATACCTTTCACATAACATTCATAGTGTTTCATGAGAATAGACTTTCAATCAACACAACAAGCTTATCATAACATACATACACTTTATTCATAATCAAGTGTAAGGGTATATGGAAGAAGGATCTCACATCAATACCACAATTACACAAGTCATAGGATCATCATTATCTAAGTAAATCATGAATTCATATACAATCTTCATCAACATATATAAAACCCTAGTTATTCCCCTGCAAGGCTAGGAATCAAGATCAACCCTCTTCAAGAATTGTTACATTAGATATGGGTATTTCATGGTGCAACAACATAATAAACATAAACATAACTAATTGTCAAGTTACCATCGTCCATCAAGCCATACATAGTTCACAATTTAGGAAGAAGGGGAAATCATGGGTCCAAGGGAGATTTTCATCATAAAACATCAATACTCCAGAATTCCAATCATAAATCGTCATAAACAACCAAAATAAACCATAATTAAACAATGGAAAACGTTTTGGAAGAAGATCCATGTTAGAGATTGAGAACCCTAGAAATTGGGGGATTTGGAATCTTGAAAACATATTTTGAAGGGGTTGTTTGGGTGATAGCTTCCCAAAGATTAAAAGAATTCATACCTCAATTGAGAATCTCCACGAAATTTTGGGAAGAACCTCGAGAATCTACAAACCCTAGCTCCAATGGTTTCTTCTTCTTTCTTGAGTCTAGGGAGAGAAATATTGAGAGAAAGATGATGTTCTTGGGTTTCTTATTTTATTAAGTGGGAGTAACTAAATTGGAAGAATTTTGACTTTAAAAGGTATATATACTTGTTAGGAAAAGAGTGGGAAAGTGTTGGTTCATGTTTTGGAGAGATTACTGAAAGACCCTTACTTAAACTATAAAAATTTCATAGCCCCACACTGGAGTTCGTCCTTTGGCCCTCCTTGGCTCGCCAAGGGCACTAGGTGACTCGCCTAATGAGCCCTTGGCTTGCCTAAATTTCCAGTACACTACAACATTTTAGGCATCTAACCACCCTAGAAAAGTGTGGCCTAAACTATGAAAAAGTGTGGCCTTTGATAAAAGGCCACACTTTTTGACTTTAAGCCACGCTTTTCCAGGGGTGGCCGAAAGAAGTGTTACCATAGAGTTTAGGCAACACTTGAAATCAGCTACTCTTAAAAGCGTAGCCTAAAATGGAAAAAGGCCATGCTTTTGCAGCTACGCTTAAAAGTGTTGCCTTATCAGCTACGCTTAAAAGGCTAAAAGGCCACGCTTTGCAGTTACGCTTAAAGTGTTGCCTTATCAGCTACGCTTAAAAGCGTAGCCTAAAAGGCAAAAAGGCCACGCTTTGCAGCTACACTTAAAAATATTGCCTTACCAACTACACTTTCGAGCGTGGTCTTTTCTTCCATATTGCCCACGATTTTAAAGTGTTGCCTTCTCTATCTTATGTATGACAACACTTTGAAGTGTAGTCCTTGCCTATGTGCATACCACAATTTACAGTCCTATGGCTACACTTTTAAGTGTGATAATATTATTTTGGCTATAAAATATTTATATGCCACAATTTCTAATTAAAAACACCAATATTGTTTTGCAATAAATAATCTCATGCATCAAATTAGCCAATAAGTAATTCAAATATATAGATTTGCAATAAACTTAATATAAAAGATAATACATACACATACTTATAAAGCAATATTCTAAATATATGTGTACACATGAATAGTTCAAAAAGTAATCTTACAATAGTTCAATATAATGTATTCAAACTTTTACAATAGTTAAAAAAACTCTTCATCATCCACTTCCACTTCAATGAGATCAAATTGACTTGTGGTGATCCTTCAAATTTGATCACCTTTATTTCCCTACACATTTAAAATAAAATTAACAATCAAAACAAACCAACAAATCAGATTTCAACTGTTACTATATTAAGTTATGGATATTTCAGAAGAGCAAAGGTGTCAACACTAATAATTTACTTTATAGATTTCTACCATTTCAGAAGAGCAAAGCTGACAATTATAATACACCAATACTTACTCTACACATTCACTTATTTTCTCAGAATTCTGGCTTCAACATTTCAAAAGAGCAAAGCTAATAATTATACAACACCAATACTTACTTAACACATTCACTTATTTTCCCAGAGTTCTGGCTTCAACATTTCACAAGAGCAAAGCTGACAATTATAAAACAACAATACTTACTGTGCACATTCACTTATTTTCCCAGAGTTTTGGCTTCAACATTTCAGAACACCAATACAACATTTGTAGGTAAACAAAAAATACAACAATACAATGCAATTTGCAAAGAGAAATCAATTATTACCTATGAGAGAATCTATAAGCAGATTGAAGTTGCCATTATGAAATATCAAGAAATTAAGGAAAATATCAATGAAGGATTGGAGAGGTACAGAGGTAGATCTCAGGTCTCAGTTTCCAGGATAATAAAAGTTCAGGTCTTATCCTTCAGTTGGGCATGCTCATCAGCCTCAAAGATCCAATCTCCAGATGCCGACCAAGACTAGACATATACCTCCAAGATAACACAGCTTTGTCGGTCTTTGTCCCATCTTTTTCTAACAGAAGTACAAGATGGGACAAAGACCAACAAAGCTATGTTATCAACTCTTTCCAGAATTTCCATCACTATATAAACTGATTCTATAAACTAATCCTACAACCTGTACACTGATTCTATAACATGCACACATAAGATCCTAGCGGGGAAGCTGGAGCCACAACTACACACACAAATTAACTATAATGATCTTGTTGTGCAGGATCAAACCAACAGCCAAGAAGAACAAGAAAACCAGCTTCATAATTTGATACATCAATAAAGGAGAGAGAGAGAAAAGCCTTAAGGAACCAACAAAATACCTTTTGAAGACCGGATCATGAATTGACCCTGAAGAATGTGGAATATTCTGGCCTCTAACAGCTTGTGCGCTAGCTGCATCAACAGGTGAAACAAGGTTAGATCCAACAACCCCTTGTATATCTTAAACATTCAATCCAGGGGTTTTTTTGCAGCAATTGACTAAAAATATATCGCATTTCTTCTCTCATTTCATTCATTTCTTCCTTCAGAGAACTGATTTCATTAGCATGCTTTTGTAAAAAGCTTGTTAGTTTCCTCATCTTCTTTCAGAGAACTTGTCGTCACTGATCTGCCATAGCACCTAAGTCAGCCAGGCTGCTCCTTTCCAAACACTGCCCTAAAGGCATCATCAGCTGTTTCCCCAGAATTTTGACGATTCTGAAGTTCAGCCTGTTAAATAAAA